TTTAATGCAGTTCCTCATGTTGTGGTGACCCCCAGCTATAAAATTATTTTCATTGCTACTTCATAACTGTAATTTTGCTACATCATGCTTCAAGACAAAAATTCATTTATTTGTAATTAGAAATACATATTTCACAATATATAATTACATATTGTTTTTGTGATTAATCACAAAGCTTTAATTATGTTCAATTTGTAATAGTGAAAATATATCCTGTATATCAGATATTTACATTACGATTCATAAGAGTAGCAAAATTACAGTTATGAAGTAGCAATGAAAATAATTTTATAGCTGGGGGTCACCACAACATGAGGAACTGCATTAAAGGGTCGCGGCATTGGGAAGGTTGAGAACCACTGATTTAGAGAATGACATCCAATTGAATTCTAAGAAAATATGATACCTAAGCTGGTGATTGTCTTCTATCAAGTCACGAATAATTTTCCGTTGACGCTCTGTCTCTTCCAGTAATGTTTTCAGTGCATGCTGTATTGCTTCAGAAGACTGCTTGTCCATAACAATTTTCTCTGCATCTAGTATTTTAAAAAATAAATGCTTTTTAAACACATTATTTTAAAGCATCTTCCAAATAAACTAGAATGCTAAAAGTGTAAAACTGTCTAAATTCAATATAATTAAAGTTCTTCATAGACTGAAAGAATTCAGTTTTTAAGGATACTAATAAAATAGTAACTCTTTAATTTCTAACTGCCTGGTTCATTGGAGCTTCTTAGAATTTACATTAAATGGCATATATGTTTTAAATAAATAACCAGTAAAGAATCACAAATGGACTCCATTTGCACCAAATGTTAGACACTTCCTCAAAGGCTGAATATAGAAAAGTATTATTAAAAGCTGAAGTCCAAGGTTAGGGATAGATCCTCAAGGAGACAATTTATCTACATGGTCGCTAAGAGTTAACAGATTGATGGCATGTCAATCACCTTTATTACCTGGCTTATTAATAGTAACATACTTCTGTGTATAAAACAAAGATGATTAACAGCTGGCAGCTCAATCCTAACCTGACATATGAACTACACCATACTCATCAAAATAAATGCTCCAACCGCAACAATTTGCATACATGAACTCTTTAATGTTTTCAGCAATGGCTAAGCTATCTGGGGAATTATTAGAGTTTTGCCTGTTGAATCTAACTGATGTTACTTGTATTGGCAAAGGGGAAGCCATTTAATTGTTGAAGACCTGGAAGGAGCACTCTTTGGGCCTTGTGGAGGATTCTTAATTAGGGAGAAAGAAGTTTGGATGTGTAGTTCTTAAGACCTCAATAATGTACAGTGTTAACATCGTTCCTTGCTTGAAGGAAAACTGTAAGCATAATTCAATTTCAATTCAATTCAGTATTCAAACTTAGTACTTGTATCTTTTTCAAGCTATAACTATATTTTGTTTTCATGTAATCATATCCCAGCCATTTCATATTGAGGAATGCCCTGCATAGTTCTAAATGCTAAGGGATCACATTGCATCCTATGAGATAGGACCATTTGAGGTTGCCCTTACCTAATGAAAAATCACTTTAAACCTGTCCTAAATGTCTTTCTTACATTGATGGGTTACCAATGTTTCTCTTGTAGCACACACTGCTCAGAACTATTTGGAGTGGATATGCATAGAAATATCAGTAATAAATAATATTTTATAAATGTATGATTACTTAAGTACCTACATCTTCAAACAGTAACAGAAGTGCAAGATTCTACTGATAGTGAGTTTAATTTATTTAGTGAAGAGTAGAATTACCTGGCACATTTCCGCAGGTTCCAGGCGTATCAAGGCACACAGGTCTTAAGCCATGTTGTCTTAATAACTTGTTTAAATTTTCCCATTCTTGCTCTTGCTACAGTGGAAAAAAATAGAAAAATTCTCATATTACAATTACAAAGCATTGCCAGATCGTTCTTTAACGCAACCCTCTGAAATTCCTCCTAACTGGTCACCTAATATTGTTACTTCATGGTAAAATTCTGAATAGACATGGTAACAAACATACCAGGGGAAAGAGAAAGCTACATATCACAAGCCTTCTCATGTTTAAGTCCTTTGCTTTTTTCATCCTAACAGTGAAAGAAGAGCCTTACTACTTCCTCAGTTTTACATATGACATAAAAGTTGAGAGTTCATAAGCAAATTTTATATTGTTTTTATTTTACTGATTTTAATATAGACTTATGAGCCAGTAACATCATTTATCTTTTTTTTCCAGTTTGTTCCACAAGCTCTGTTTTTCTAACATCCTGCTTTTGAACTTTCATTGCAATATTGTATCTCCAATTAAATACTTCAGCTCTATCTATGGGATAGATAATGCATTTAACTACCCTTAGATCCATTCAAAATGATATACACCAAAAAAGAAAAAGAAAATAAACCAAAAGAAAAGTGAAACAGAAAAAGGGGAAACCAAAATCACTAGATGGTTTCTACAATTCTCTCCAATGTTTTCCCCCCTACACTTTCAATCCACTCTTTAAAGTGTTTTAAAACAGTATAATATAAAGTATTTATTATTGTAGCATATCATCCCAGCTAAGGGATATTTGGGGTATTAGATTTCACCATCACAAGGCCTCTATTACCCTCTTTGGGCAGTCTGTAATTTTAGATACTTTGAAAAGCATGTCCACAAAAGTATTTATCACTAAGGCTTCATTTGTAACCAATGAACTACAGACAAGAATTTCATCTCAATAAAGACTCATTAAGTCACTCACATAAATCGAAGGAAGGCTTACAAATTTAACAACTATCTCTTTCCTCACGGCTCTTTTTGCACTTTGTTCCAAAGGACTGAAACTCTGAAACACTAATGAAGATGTTAGAGAGGAAATTAATGCAGATTGCCTCCTTCCCTTTTCTTAGGATTCTCTATGTCTATGACTGATTCTCTGTATCAGTCTATGGACAGAATCAATAAGCAGAATCCCCACTTGAAAATCTTGGATTCATATTATTATGTTCAAAGCACAATCCAGGATTCATACTATTATATGACAATTCTTCCCATCCTATTAAGCAATGAAATCCTACTGAGTTTATTTCTAGGAAACCAGGCTTAGAACTGTAGTCTTACATTTCATGTAATACATGAACATTGTTATACAGAAGCAGATTATACGTAACAGCTGCAAAGCTTATACTGAGATATGGTAATTCATAATAGAAATTGATAAGGTGCTTTTAGAGTCTTAATCTTTATTAAAATTTTGGGATGGCTTAATACACAATTGACAAGTATTACTGATCTCAGACTGCCATCACGCCTTAATACTGGCATACTGGCTACAGAAGTAAGAGTTTGAACCTAACATTACACACTGAGTTGTAGACATTCTATTTACAGGTTCCTATTGCTCTTTAGTAACTTATTATTTCTACTATAATATTATACTAATATAAAAACAATGCAGCAAAAATAATATAATAAAACATTTTGAACAATATAATTAAAATTTGAACTATGTAAAATATGAAATAACACATTTTGAACTATTGAACTTTTGCTGAAGGTAATTCAATTCTATGTGACCTTAACATATGCTATTATTTATGCATGGTTCAACAAAGATATACCTCTGTCATTGTAATTTTGAACTCTTGACTTTATTTGACCAGTGGATAGGATGCCAATTTTTTCTGAAATCTGAGAATGGAAGATGACATAGGAAAAGCAAAAAAATAGAATAGCATTGCAGCATGAGAAAATTAATCAAAGTTATGCTATGCACTTGTTTTATGGCTTAAATGGCTCAAATATACAGTACAAATATTAAAAAACACAAAACAATTAATCTGCTAGAAGAAGCCTTCAAAGACAAATCAATCCCTCCCAGATTTTGAAATGAGATTCACTTAATATAGGTCCCTTCCACACTACTGAGTTGAAGCTAACTGTATTGCCATGAAAACTGTGTTGTCCCCATTGTCCAGTTCTACTGTATCTCTATTTTTAGCTACAGTAGCTCCCTGAATTCACCCCATATTAATGGGTGATATAGCTATGCAGCATTTATATTCAGTCTTCAAAATGTCCTTTGAAACATGTGGGAACCTTTGGTAGCGACTGCATATTTCTGGAAAGAGTTAAGAGCTGCTTCAAGGTGTTCCAAGCAGGTGCCATGCTTACACATTGACGCAACCTCTGGGAGATCCGACCCAAAGGGCTGCACAGTCCTAACAAGTTTCAAAGCCTAATTCAGTATCCACCTCAGGATGCCCTTGGATGGTGTCACTTGGATGGGGGAATACTTTTTTAATACTGAGACAGCAAGCTTTCCTGCTGTCTTACTCCTAGCTAACAGATAAAGACATAACATGGGGGATATAGCATAAAAAAGGACATTGACAGGATATGCTTGCATTGTTGTTCAAGAAAAATGTGAAATTATACTTAGCATCTCTAAAACTAAACTAGGACTGCTCATTTTTCTTTATAAAAAGAAACAAAACTGTTACGTGTGTCTTTCTAAGAGCATATTCAACAGCTTCCAGTGGCTATCATTGGTCTACAAGTTAAATAATCAATCAGGATTTATTAAATAAATATATTTATTATTTATTTATTAAATATATTTATATGCCGCCCAATCCCAAAGGACTCCAGATTGTCCCCAAGATATCAAACAATTTCCAAGCTGGTGAGAAAGCCTCATTCAAGCAAGAAAATCATTTACAGGTAGTCCTCGGCTTACAACCACAATTGAGTCCAACATTTATGTTACTAAGCGAAACATTTCTTAAGTGAATTTTGCCCCATTTTACAACCTTTCTTGCTGCAGTCTTTGAGTGAATCACTACAACTCATTAAGTTAGTAATAGGGATGTTAAGTGCATCTGGCTCCCCCATTGACTTTGCTTCTCAGAAGGTTGCAAAAGGTGACCATAGGACCCCGGGACACTGTGACCATCATAAATATGAACCGGTTGCCAACCGCCTGAATTCAGATCAGTCGTAAATGTGAAAAACAGTCATAAATCACTTTTTCATTGCCATTGTAACTTTGAATGATCACGAGATGAATGGTCGTAAATCAAGGACTACTGTACTGTACAATCTTTTTCTACTTCATGACCTGACATACCAGAATAGGGATAGATTGCCATGGAGAAACTCTATGTGGTTGCTAGGAGTAAATAATGTGACCTGATGGTGCATAATCAATCAATCTCTACTAGCTGACTCCAACTAAGTACACTCTTAGGTGTTCCCTTCCACAGGATCACACACATCCCAAATATTTTGAGATGTGAAACTCAAATCCATTCTTAGGATGGTAATCAAAGCACCACCAAGCTTGAATCACATCCTCACTGTCAGCGCTGAAAGTGAAGCTTACTAACAAGCAGCTACCTCTACATCTGATGAAAATATTGGACATCTTTCCCCTTAATTAGCTCTGCCTAATACATGGCGTGGGACTCGTACGATAAAGATGCAAATTGGATCGGGTAACGCTGGCGAGGCAGGCAAGGGCATTTACTCTAATGAAGTTGTCACCCAAAATAGGAAGTTGTCTGGGACCCTCAACAGAGAGCAGAAAAAGCTGAGTTTATACAATCTAGATTATTCTTACGGTTCGGTTTGCAAGTCTGCTTACGTTCGATCGTAACGTTATAAAACCCGTAGTCCCGATTTAATCTGTTATTAAACCAAAACAAACCGATGCTCCATTCTCTACGAGCAAAAAAGGAACAAAAGCTTTACTAGCGACGCCAAGAGGCCTCTCTCATCAAGACTTCAACCCATAAGAAACTTAAGGTTCACCGAAGAGGCTGCTTTAAATGGACTCGGGGGTTCCCCGCCTTAGCCCACCAGGCCTTCGGGCTCCAGACTGCTCGAGGCTTCTTTCACGCCGTCTCCTCTCCTCTGCTCCGCTTGCCCGCAAGAAGATCGCAGAGGCAGGCGCCTTTCCTCCCGCTGCCTCTTTCTGCTCGGCGAAAAGGCAAAGACGAGGAAGCTTCCGCGGCCGTTAAAGGCGGGCTCACCAACTGAAGTAGAGCCGCCCCTGGGCTTGGCTTCCAGTCTCCACGGCTGGGCGGGGGGTGGGGGATGGGGAGAAACACTCGCTTGCACGCAAAGCTCACCTTCAACCCTTAGCTGATCCTCCGAGCAAATTTCAGAGCCCTAGAAGTACGTGCATGTTAGGCACGTTTCAGATTCAGTCTCTGGCAGCAGCGATGTCACTTTTTTGGGGCTGCTGAGGTTCTTAGGCTTTGACACTCTGCAGGTATATTCGATTTAATCGACGAGGCTGCCTCCAACTTCTCGTCTGGTCCAAAGAGAGGAGTTGCCTGTGGAGTTATCTAGCAGGAAAATTTATTCGAAGGAGAATAAAGGGATGCTGTCTGTAACGATTGCCTTCCTACTTAAAAGAAATCAAAGCTCTGGAGAGGGAGCTCGAGCCTCCAGAAAAAAAGAGATCTCACCTCTTACTATCAATATCCGATTAGTAGGAAACCAGTGGAGGGGGAAACTTATTTCCATTTTTAACACTCTGTACTTTCTTGTGCTATCAATTAAATGCCACAAAAGAGGTTATCGGGATCAGGGGGGGAAAGACCCTATTTTGAATTGAAAACAGGACATAGGCAATCTTTCCTTAGAAGAGCACTCCCAAACCAGAGTGCTATTTTTAAAAGGGGGGGGGGTTCCTCCAGTGAGCAACCCCTGTACTTCATCTGTCGGAGACATACAATAATTTCCACAATAATTTCATTATTATTATTTTTTAATCCTGCTTTCATTAACAAATTTATAACCGTTCATCCAAAAGGCTAAGCTTAAAATATGCCTGGCTAGTTTGCTTCTCAACATGATAAAGGCAGTCTAGTCAGTTACCTTATAGTTTGATATTTTGTGCAAAGTCGCTAAATTAGTTGGACTGAGTGCTAATTACAGATTAGCATGTTAGAACCATAGAATGTAAAGAGGTCTAAAGAGTAAAGATCATCTAGTGCAACTCCATTCGGTGTAAGAACCCGTTACTGCTGCATTCTTAAAAGATACCCATTCAGACTGTTTAACAACAGTTTAACAGACTGTTTAAGAATCCATCCAACACCTCCCAAAGTAATCTGTTTTATTTATTTTTTTAATTGGCTGTCAAAATGAAGATTATTTTTCCTGATGTTCAACAAAATCTATTTCCTTGCAATTTAAACCAAGGAATCGTCGCTTGTTCTACCTACAGAAGGTCCAGAATAGAAGCGGAGCCGAAAGAGATCCTTGCGAGGCTCTGCAGGCTTCTTCGGAGTAAAGAAGGCAACAGCTTCCCCCACCCCCCGGAAAGCAGCGGGGCGGGACTCGTCGCGATGAAAAAGGCAGCCCTGATGCCGAGGAGAGCCTTGCAAAGAGGCGGAAAGGAAAAGCCCGAAAAGGCACCAAAAGAAGCGGGAGGAGCTTGGCCCGCCTGGTGGGCAGCCATCGAGACGTTTTCAAAGGCGGCGCATGGGAGAAACCCGGTGTCTGGCAGAGATGAGGCGGCGCTCCGGCGGGCGGCGGAGGCTGCTCTGGGACGCGTCTTTCAGCCGGACCCCGCGCGTGGGCGCGCCTGTTGCCAGGGTAAGAGATGCGCCGACTGCGCTTTCCAATCCACGCTTTCCCGGCTTTCCTCTCCCGGGCTGCACCGCCATATTGAGACTCGCGAAGGCTCTCCGGGAGGCGCAGCGGTTTTCTGGGAGAAAGGGGCGAAGCCGCTCCCCTCGGCTTGCCTCCGGCCCTTTCTCTTCTTCGGGTTGACAGACGCGCTATCCTCGCCCGAAGCCGGCGGGGCCCACTTCCCACACTCGGACGAGGCCTCGCTTTCGACCGGCGGGCGGGAGGCTCTGTTCCCCGAGGCAGGTAGAGCCAGCCCTTTTAAACTCCGTCGCTCTATTTCGGACTCCGGGACCGAAGTCGCCTCGCGTTGTTAAAACCGGATTCAGAACGGCCTTAAAATGGGTCTTGGTTAATGGTTGGTGATGTGGGAAGTGGGCCGAATGGTCGTTTCCTTCAAAGATGCATAATTTTGTATTTATATGCATAATTTTTATTTATTTATTTTGTCATGTTTATGTAGTATATATTGGAGGTGGATGACCCTTTGAGCGCTGTAGGCAACAACATTTCATTTTAATGTATGCTGATAGTGTACATTCAAAGTGACAATAGTTAGTCTAAGTCTAAAAAAACGATATGGAAGGGGTTTCCCCCCAATCCAGAAAGGCTTAATCTGAGTATCTGTTGATGCCCCCCCCCCTAGAAACAGGAGTACAGGTAATCCTCAATTTACAACAGTTTGTTTAGTGACCATTCAAAGTTACAACAGGCACTGTAAAAAGTGACTTAGGACCGTTTTTCATCACCTTTGCAGCATCCCCATAGTGATGTGATTACAATTCGTACACTAGGCAACTGACTCGTATATATGATGGTTGCACAGTGTCCTTTCACTAATTTGTCAGCATTCTGTATTACCCATTTGTCTTTTTTGTGTAGTTTGATAAGTATCATATCTTCCAAATATTGGATTACTGCCATCCCACCTTTTATTTTTTAGAGGTGCCTATGGAATCCTTCTGCCACTTTAATGAAAAACAGGGAATACATATAATACTGGGCTTAATTGTGGATTTTTTTTATTGCATGCCTGTTTTCTGCTTATTCGTTTGTAATAAAAGTCATGGAGGAAAATATGTGGGTGCTGCTGTAACATCTGCTGTTTTAAATCTTATATCATTTTTTAATGTACTGCTTTGTGTTCCAAAAGTGTCAAGAATGAAAAAGTTAAAGTAGAAACCAGAAGGAAGAAATTGCTGATCGTTAACATTAGCTTTGATATATTGGAGCAAGCAGCTTAGAAATTTATTAGTTTTGTTAAATAACTGAGTGATTATAACATCTTGTTGCATTCCTTAACAAGATCTTTTGAGCTAAGTCAAAAGGCCGTAAATGCTACTGGGACACTTGCAAATATTTGAGGAACAAGTTCAACCTGCTTTTTAGTGAATGATTATAAGTAATAACTACAGTGAACTGCGTGGATAACATTTGTGTATCCAAAATAATTTCAAATCACTGACAGACTGGCAAAATCAAGAAATAAAATTAGAATGCTTTTCTCAGCATTTTCCCCTAGCTCAGGGCAAAAGATTTGAAATAGCAGTGATTTGTCATGAACACAATTATTCTAAACATCTGTAACTTAGTTTTACTTTTTTGCTGCTACTTCTTTCTGCTTTGTTTCTTTTTTTTCTTTTTTTGCTGCTAATTGGATTAAAAGCCATTTTGTATACTATGGCAACTTGGATGGAGACTGATAATAATGAAGAAGTAAGGTAAAATGTACCCCATAGGGTAAGAGATATAGAAAGTTATTTTTGAAACAAATCTTAGCCAAATATGAATTTCTCTCTTTCTTTATTTTATATACTGCTATAGTCAACAGAGGTTCCCAATGGTGAATATCAATAAACACACCAAATAAAATTCAATAAATACTGTGCTCATATATGCTGTTCTTAATTTCTCTGCTAGATTTAATACAATTTTCTTATCAAGGTATTTTATGGTGCTTAGAGATTATCTGTTACTGTATTTAATTTGATATTGGAATGATAGGTCTATCAGAAAGATAGGACAAGATTTGGATTTAACTGGCTAGGATTGAACACATTGTTAACTAGTGGTATATTAAGTTAAATAATTATTTTGTAAGTTCTATGTTTGGCAAATTATCAGGTTGCTCAATTAATCAAATAATATATTTTCTTTAGAGTTTAAATGAAATTTGTAAAAATTGGAGTTTTATTTGTTTAAATTTGTTTAAATACTGATATCTGGGAATAAATATTCCAAGGAATCTTTTAGACTTGGAACAATTAAATATGTTCACTTTGTGTCTATAAACTGATTTTGTATCAGTACAGTGAAATGACTGTATGATCGGGATTTAACAAGGTGTTTAAAAATAAAAATTGGGCTGAGTAATTTTTGCTATATATAATGTAATACCTCACTTTTTCTTATTAGGTGTAATAAAAATATAAATATGTATACAGAATATATGCATAAGCCTGAGTGACCAAAACCTATGCATAAGCCTGAGTGACCAAAACCTTTAGTAGAAACTAAGCTCATAATTTAAACAGCTGCATAGTATGTTCTGTAAAGATAATTAAGTTTCCAAAAAGAGAGCCTGGCTAAGTTGGATCCACTTTAGAAGTGTATTTTACTTTTAAATAATGCTGCTTGAAATAGATCAAGTGAACATATTTAAATGTTTTGTTCTTCTATGTCTCATTGCAGTTACCTAGACAGAATGGCAGACCTGGTGGCTATCTGGGAAGTAGCCCTGAGTGACGGCGTTCACAAAATTGAATTTGAACATGGGACCACATCAGGAAAGCGTGTTGTGTATGTAGATGGAAAGGTAGGACACTTGCATAAAATGCACTCAGTTCTTTGGAAAACAACAAGTTAACAATTTGTGTATGTAAAATGGTTCGCTGAAATAATACTTTCCAAGAAAGCTTTTCTAATTGGTGTTGAGCAGGGCTGGGCAGTTAATTTTCCCAAGGGGCCACATGAGAAACTGGGACTGTTGTGGAGGACCACTGACATTGCCTCAATGCTGTTGATGCTACGGGCAGGACTGGGACCACCTGTCAGCCAGATGCAGCCTACAGGCTATAAAATGCCCAGGTGTGGTTTGCTTTTCTGACCACGCTTCCAGTTTATTTTCTTAGTTCTTTATTTTTGACAATTCCCCTTAAATCTTTTCCTTTCTATTCTTTTCCCTCCTGTCGATCTCCTGTTGAACCATGGAGTCAATCCTGTTTTCATTACCATAAATAGACTTCAGTGTGTAAGAAAGGTGGTTCTGTAACATCAAAAAGTCCCTCAGTTGTCTTCTCCTGTACCAGATAATTGCTTTTGAGTAGAACAACCTTGTACTGTGAGAAAGTTTTGAGGCAAAAAGTGAGAGCTGTTTCGTGAGACTTTTCATTCCTCCAGATCCTTACTGCCATTATTACAATGAGAAAGAGGTTGGTTGCACCATTATTTAATAGATTCAGGTTCTCTGTGGAACTGGAGGGACTATCTTATTTTGGTAAGACCATAGATTAGCACTGGCAGGAGAAGTCACAAAAGACCCCAAAAGAGGATAAGCAAGAAAGCATTTTAACCCATCAATTTCAGGGATAAGTATGAAGGGTCCTTGATTAGTATGAGGGATAGGCATTTATAGATTTAAGGTTCCCTTAAATAACTATCACTTGAAATACTATCTTTATATACACTGCCTTTTACACATGCTGAAATGAGTCTTTTCAATAGTTTTTAGTTACCCAAATTTTATTTGGAATCAAAATTATAGAAGGAGGTTTAGACTAAGTAAGTATTTCATTCTTTTTGAAATTATATTTTAAGAGAAACAGTATACAAATATATTGAATAAATAATAATGTTGAAGTAAAGTTTTGAACATTTGCTATTAAAGATAAACTGCATTTTTATGAAATATTTTTCTTCTGAACAGATGTTGAGTTCAGTTTCTGGCTATTAAAAGAATATTTATTCACAACTTTAAACTGATAGATTAATTAGTTTTCTTTGCTAATATAGGCAAAAATATACAATAACCAATTTGGGATTTCAATATTTTCTTGAAAACACACATCACTTGAATGCATGGTGCAAGGAACGAATGCCTCATGGTACTAGAATCTTGCTGTTAGTCTTGCTGCAGATGTTATATAGAAATTTATTATTTTAGATATATAGATCTATATTAGGAAATTGAGAAATATTGCAGTCATAATGGATATAAATGAGCAACCGGTTAATTGGAGGGATGGCTTAATTATCAGATTGCTTTTTAGGCATAATTTTTCCATATCTAATTCCTTTCATTCCATTTTTTATCATTCCCCACTGTATTATCTTTTTTTTTCAAGTAGAAGGATAAAGAAAGGGGCATGCTTACAGTATGATGATTCCTTTCTTTCTGGCTTTTGGGAACTGAACTCCAGCTCCTACCAGTGTATTTGAATGATCCCAATAATCCTGGGTATGTTTTCTTTCTCTATGAGAGCAAAAAAGCAGATGACATAGAAGATGGAAGAGGAGACTAGATCTATTTCATCCAAATGAGCAACACAGTGTGCAAATGCTTCTATCCCAAATTGAGGGAATAAATATGTGAATAGAATCTGAATAGGTAGCACATCTTCTTCCAGCTTCCTATCACATTTGTCCAAATAAAAAGGGTCAGCTACATTGTTTCCTTTGGTGAGTGCATATTGTTGTCGCATATACTTTTTAAAATATGATTTGAGGTCTTGCCTATACAACAGCAATAAATGTCATCTCTTCCCCCATATCCAAGCTAAGCTGCATAATACCCAAGATCAAAAACTGTATGTTACTGAGACAGCAATTCATACGAGTGCCTCTACACCTCCGCCACTACATTTATTATATAGCAAATTAAATTACTATCCTTTCATAAACTCAGTTCCCTAGCACAACTACAGGGCGGGGCATAACCTTTTCCTAGGGGGTCACAGCAACACTTGTAATAACAACACAAATAATTCATACACCATTCGAAAGCCCATCAAAAACT